ACAGGGGGGTCCGGGCAGGTGTTGGGAGTTGCCGGGCGGCAGGTGCCGGGCTCGTTTTTCACCAACAGTCACACACTTCGTGCTCTTCGACTTCCCAGAACTCCATTCCCAGGCCACATTCTCAATACCCGGATGCAACAGTCACACACTTCGTGCTCTTCGAGATCCCAGAACGCCATTCCCGGGCCACATTCGGAATAGCCGGATGCAACAGTCACACACTTCGTGCTCTTCGAGTTCCCAGAACTCCATTCCCGGGCCACATTTGGAGGGCCGGATGCAACAGTCACACACTTCGTGCTCTTCTATTTCCCAGAACTCCATTCCCGGGCCACATTTTGATGCCCGGAGCCAACTGTAGGCCACTTCGTGTCTTCGACTTCCCAGAACTCCATTCCCGGGCCACATTTTGAATGCCCGGAGCCAACTGTAGGCCACTTCGTGCTCTTCGAGTTCCCAGAACTCCATTCCCGGGCCACATTTTGAATGCCCGTAGCCCACTGTAGGCAATTTCGTGCTCTTCGACTTCCCAGAACTCCCACTCCTGGGCCACATTTTCAGCAGGGGCAAGAGCACGACGAGGAGGAGGACGAGCAAGACCAGGAGGACGAGGACGAGCAGGAGCAGGACGAGGAGCAGGAGGAGCAGGAGAAGAAGGACGAGCAGGAGGAGGAGGAGGACGAGCAGGAGGAGGAGGACGACCAGGAGGAGGAGGACGACCAGGAGGAGGAGGACAGGAGAGGAGGAGGAGGAGGAGGAGGAGGGAGGGGGAGGAGTACCAGGAGGAGGAGGAGGAGGAGGAGGAGGAGGGAGGAGGAGGAGGAGGAGGAGGAGGGAGGAGGAGGAGGAGGACGAGGACGAGGAGGAGGAGGAGGAGGGGAGGGGGGGGGAGAGAACCAGGAGGAGGAGAACGAGGAGGAGGAGGAGGAGGAGGAGGAGGAGGAGGAGGAGGAGGAGGAGGAGGAGGAGGAGGAGGAGAGAACACCAGGAGGAGGAGGACGAGCAAGACGAGGAGGACGAGAACGAGGACGACCAGGAAGGAGGAGGAGGAGGAGGAGGAGGAGGGGAGGGGGAGGACTACCAGGAGGAGGAGGAGGAGGAGGAGGAGGAGGAGGAGGAGGAAGAGGAGGAGGAGGACGAGGAGGAGGAGGAGGACGAGGAGGAGGAGGGGGGGGGAGAGCACCAGGAGGAGGAGAACGAGGACCACCAGAGGAGGAGGAGGAGGAGGAGGAGGAGGAGGAGGAGGAGGAGGATGAGGAGGAGAGAGCACCAGGAGGAGGAGGAGGACGAGCAAGACGAGGAGGACGAGAACGAGGAGGAGGAAGAGGAGGAGGAGAGGAGGAGGAGGAGGAGGAGCAGGAGAAAGAGGAGGAGGAGGAGGAGGCAGGCTGAGGCTGAGGCTGTGACTGCGACTGCCGTTGCCGCTGCGACTGTCATCGCGAATGCGACTACGACTGCGAGAACAGCAGAATTCGACAACTGGATTTTCATCTGAATCTTAAGGGGAATGCTTTCAGATATGCTTCTACACATCGCTGTTAGGTTGCTTTGCCGGGATAATTTTCTTCCGGGAGGGCCGTTTTAGCAGCCACGGTTTTAGCAGCCTTCGCCCAGCTTCCGAATCAGGAGCTTCCCACTTTCTCGGGGGCATGAACGGTGCATCAACCAGAGTCTCGGAGGTCCGTGCGGACTGCTCGGATCAGGCGACCGCAAACATGGATCAATGGGGGCGTGGATTAGCGGTAAGTCGGGCCTGTCCCTCTACAGGGGGAATATTCAGAAACAGTAAAAAATAGTCGAGAGACTATTTTGGGACTATTTTTAAACCATTTTGGATTTTTTTTTGACTATCTTTAACTTGTCGTCCAAAATCCGCCTGTAGGGGGACACGCCCGATTTAAGATTAGCGACGGGTCCTGCTTCCGTGGGAAACCGCGGATTTCCCCCGCCGAACGAGGCGGCACCGGCCGCATCTTGGGGAGGGCGCCTCCCCCGATCCACGGATGTGGCGACCGCGCGCCAAGTCCACGGATTGCTAATCCACGATTGCGCGCCCCCGACTCTCTGGGCACGCTCGACCTCCTCCTATCCTCCTCTTCCCCCCTCGTTCTCCGCCGCCGCACGCCCCGTCTTCGGAGCCATCTTGGCTCGTGGCGCCGCGGCAGTCCACCGCGGGCACCACGCGGGGGCCCGCTGCAGGTAGCGTATGTAGCAGCACAGAGGTTGCACCACATAGACGGCTCCATGGAACGCTAATCCATGTTTGCGCGCCCCCGACTGGCGGCGCCTCGGGCGCCGTCCTGGCGCGCCCCGCGCGCGCCAGGGGCAGAGTCCAGCGCCGACCCAAGGAATCCGCGCGAACCTGCAAGCGTTTATGTTTACGCAATGTCTCGTGGCGCCAACATCACAGAGCGGATTTCGTTCGGAGAACGATAGCGTGGGCCCGGGGTGTCCTGGAGAATTTCGCCCCGGATTTCGAGGTGAATTTCGTGTGGATTTT